GAATAAATGGCTAAACACCGATCGAAGACCCTGCTCGTACACGACATATGTGCGAGTCTGCTCCTGAATTAAAATATTAGGCACTCCCGCCTGGTGCTGAGATGATTGTCTGACGACGAAAACTATAAATGCTTATTGCAGTCTCCTGTGCCCTTGTTGGCGATGGCTGCTAGCATCCTGTGCATTTCACTGGTTTTCTGCCTTTGCGCTTTTTTGGCCCTTAAAATGCCTGCTGTGCATGATAACAGTCCTGGAAATAACGTTTATGGATAACTTAGCCGTTATTTTTGTACCTTATCGTTGGGGTTTAGGCGCTTATTTGACGGTTTCCTTGGTTGGGAAAAACTAGAAAACTTTCGTACGATTCTAATTGTGAATCTAGTCCGTCCAGCATTTTCGCAGTAAACATAAATGAAGGTCTATGGGTTCGCACTATGCGTCACATTTTTAGAGTGATATCCTCCGGCGACTGGAACATGCTCGATGTCCACGCAAGCACCTTATCGGATTGAATCGAAAAGACTAATGTCTGTGAGGTTTTTATTTTAAAATTAAATTTGCTCCGTAACTGATTTTAGGTGAAAATATTGAAAAATAAACAGGATATTCTGATGAAGACGTCCGAATTTACTTCTTTTTGCCCCATTTTCCCAGTCCCTTCTTCTTTTTTTGGGCCGAGTTTTCATCCACCGTATCCTTCCCTTCTGTTGGTTGACCCGCTTCTGTGGTGGGGCTGGAATTGGAGGTGCCTTCTGCTTTCTCGATGTCCGTTTTTCCGTCATTTGTTTCACCGGTTTTGTGCTCAGAACCCGCTTCCGCCGCCTTTTCACCGTCACCGTTCCACTCGCGCTCCCTTGCATTTTCTTTTGCATCCTCATCGGCAGCCTTTTTTTCTCCACTCTCTACCTCGTCGTCTGTCTCCTCATCGTCTTTGCATCGTTTTTCATCTTTCGCTGCTTTTTTCTCGTCTTTCCCGTCAGCCTTCTTTGCTTTCTTCTCCTTTTCTTTTTCCTTTTCTTTCTTCACCTTTTCTTTATTTTCCTTTTCTCTCTTCTCTTTTTCTTTATTTTCCTTTTCTTTCTTCTCCTTTTCTTTATTTTCCTTTCCCTTCTTCTCCTTTGTGTTCTTGTTTTTCCCTTTATCTTTATTATCCTTTTTCATATCTGGTTCATTATCCTGTGTCTTTGCCTCATCCTCAATCTTTTCCTCCTCATCCTGTCCATCCTCATCGTCTTGGCACCGTTCGTCATTTTTCGCTGCCTTTTCCTCTTCTTTCCCATCAGCATTTTTTTCTTCATTCTTATCTTTTTTCTCCTTATCTTTCTTCTCCTTATCTTTCTTTTCCTTATCTTTCTTTTCCTTTTCTTTCTTTTCCTTCTCTTTCTTTTCCTTTTCTTTCTTCTCTTTTGCGTTCTTGTTCTTTCCTTTATCTTTATTGTCCTTTTTCACATCTGGTTCACTATCTGGTGGCTTTGCCTCCTTCCCAGTCTTTTCCTCCTCAGCGTGTCCATCCTCGTCGTCTTGGCACCGTTCTTCATCTTTCCCGTCACACTCATTTTCTGAAGCTTTCTCTTGAGAATTTTTATCCTCATTGGGGTCCTTGTCCTGCACGTCGTCGGCAGCCTTATTATATTCAGCTTCGTCGCTCTCCTCTTCGGGTTTTTTCACGTGGGTGCTTTTCTTGTTCCCGACGTGTGATTTCTCCCCCTGGGATTGCGAAGAGTGTTTACTATTGGCCTTATCACCCTTATCAATTTCCGCCTTGTTTGGTGTGCGCTCACTTTCTTCCTTCCCCTGCTTTTCTTTGTTCTTATCTCCTCCGGAACTTATATTTTTTGATGGAGCTCTCTTTTCTTCTTCCTCCTTTTCTTTCTTCTCCTTTGCGTTCTCGTCGTTTCCCTTATCCCTTTTAACATCTGGTCGATTATCCTGTTTTCTTACCTCCTTATCAGTCTTTTGCTCCTTGGCGTCGTTCTTTTCGGTGTTAGAACGCCCACTTTTGTTTTTCTCTTCAGCCTCAGTTGTTCTGCTTACGTACCCTAATTCAACCATCTCGTCTTCTCCGTCACTACTTAATTTTTCAGTTTCTTCGTGTTCCATTACTTTGTTTGCAGCTTTACTCTTATCAGCTAGGTCGTCTACATTGGCCTCGTCAGATTCACTGTCGTGGACCGCCTTCTGATTCTGACCAGTCTGCTTGGATTCCTCTTTTCTTTTGTTCTTTGGAGTTCGTATTGAGCTCGTCCTCTTGGCGTCTGAATGTGTCCTTTTTCGGTTGTTGTCCTCTTCAGGTGTTTCTGTTCCGCTTTCACTTGACTCGGTTTCTAACCGCGCCTTCTGAGGCTGCCGGCTTCTCATTGTTCCAGATTCCTTTTTCCTCGATCCCCTTCTTTGCTCGGACTCTGCTTTCTGGCATCTAATGTCCCCATTCTCTATCTTCACGCCGGTCTCTGAGGCCTCACTTGCATCTGAAATGCTCGCAGGTGACCTAGACCTTCGGGCGGGTGTTGCAGTCAGTTTCCTCTCGGAGTCCGCTTCCCCATCTGTCAGTTCTTCTCGTTCCCTATCGAATTTCTCGGGCTCATATTCTTCCTTTTCAAATTTTGGTGTCTCCGACTCTCTTTCCGTGCTTGCCTTTTCTGTTTCACCGTCAGGATTTTCCTCTGGTGAGGATTCACCCCAGCGTGAGCGAACATCGGAGGCCCATTTAGCCCATCCGACACAGTCGAGAGCATCGGCGAGGTCCGAGACGCTGGCATGCCGGTTGAAATTGAGCCACTTGTCGAGGGCTGCCATAGAATCCTCCGCAGCTGAAC